TTTTAAATAGTGCAACTATCTCAAATGTACCTTCTTCTACCAGCTTCTAGCTTTGTCTGGGACATCTTTTTTTTTGTTTTATAAAATAAATTTTTAGTACAAAAAAGTTTAATTTAAAAAAATTTATATTAAAAAAATATTTAAAAAAATAGTAAGGAAGCTCTCTCAATTGAAGCCTCTATCTTGGAAAAGCTATTGACTCTATAGTGAAAAATTGTAACATTCAAAAGATTGATGAAAAGATCTACGATGCGATTTAATGAGTGAAAAAAAATTAAAATCATAGGTTTGGATAGATTTTGGATGATTACAATTTTTTATAAATATGATAGTAAAGTTGTTATTGAGAAAATTTTTTTTTTTCAAAATTGCTGTAAAAAGGTAATTTCTTAGTACTAAAATTTCAAAAATTATGAGAAAGTAGTAGCTAAGTGGAATTGTTGTTACATTTTGAAAGAATAATTCAAGAAGAAAGTTGTTCCAAATATGCACTAAATTATATATTTTATTTTTTATTATTTGACTAAAAGAGTAATATTTTATATAGCTATAGTTTTAGCACTAATAATCTTTGTTCATTTGACAATGAGAAATGATGCTGAATTATTTATTCAAGAGATCTATACAATAAAGACGGACTCAAAGCTTTGTGGATTATGGAATTGTTTCTAATATATATTTTTGTATCAATTTTATATTTCAGATAATCATCATATTTTTTTGTTAGTAATTTATTATTATTTTATTAGACTTTTTTTTTTTGGAAATTAGGGGCAGAGCCCATTTCATTGCATAAAAGAAATTACAAGTAAATGAAACAGAAAATTATAATCCATAAACACAACAAAACTGGATTATGGATTCTAAAAGAAAGCAAAATACAACATGAAATTAAAATAGTAGAAATGGAGGCAGAACTGCCTCAAAGGACTCAGGTTGCTCTTTGTGCTCGGAAATGGTAAAAAAAAACACGAATGGGTCATGTTAAGAGCAAGGCCCCTGGTTGCCAAGAAGACCATCCAAGGGGCAGCTGATAAGAATCAGCATTTATCATCGTCCTTTCAAAAATAAACTCCTAGGCAACCTGACGATCCAACAAAATTTGCAGGCACCCCAAAATTGTCCAGACATAAGCGTCACAGAAAGCAAAAACCAGTGGCTTCAAGGCCGAGCCCAGATCCAGAAATTCATACGTTGTGCCAGCCGATAGTTTTAAGAGTGACAGCTTTTCTAACTTTTGTAATCACCGTGGTTTGACTATCAACAATACCACCAAAAATCCTATCATTTCTTGCTCTCCATAAGAAGTAGATGATAGCAGAGGTAGAGAGAAGATAGTAATTTCTGTTATGAACTAAAAACCTTTGCTCAAAAATAGAATTGTATAACTGATGCAGGTTGGGCCTCATAAGAAGATCATTCAGACAAGGCAAAAAATATTTTGCAATATCAAAAGTGAATCTGCACTCGAAAAAGAGATGAGAAATGGTTTCCATATCATCGTGACAGAAACAGCACTTGTAAGAAGTGTTAATCCCTCTCTTTGCCAGAATATCCGTAGTTTTTAAACCATCTTTAAAAGCAAGCCAGACGTACACCGAGTATCTAAGGGCTTGATGTTTATACCAAACATATTTGTACCAGGGAACCTTGCTCAAATTACTAAAAAACTGTTTAGAAAAATCAGCAAACACAGGGTTTTGTTTACCATACCAGAAATGATTTTCCACCTGACTGATGGGAATAGCCTTAATAAGAGAGGTGATATTGTTTTCAAAAGACTGAGGTAGGTTCCAATTATCCCTCAGAATAATATTAGAAACTTTCCAGCTAAAGAAACTGGAGTAGTTGGCAATAGGATTAGAGGTCTTCAATAAAAAGTCAATGGAATTCCCCCCACACCAAGGATCCCAGATAACAAAAAGGCTGCTACTCGGGAAAACAGAAAAAGAAATACAACTTTTAATGCAGCTAGCTTTCTTACACAGCAAATCCCAATATTGAGCATTTTTAGCCGAAGTAAAGTTCCAAAGGGAATAGTATTTAGCTCTCCACCAACTAAATAGGAGGCTGTTAGTATTTAGGAACCTCCAAATGACTGAACAAGCATAATTGTGATAGAGAGAGTCAATAGACATGATTCACAAACCCCCATATTGTTTTGGGAAACATGTGTTTTTCCAAGACACAGTAAAAAGTTTTTTCTGTGTGATATTGCCAAAGTAAGTAAAATGAGCGCACAAACGATTTATCTGCTTGGAAACACCTTTAGGTATGATAGAGCTTCGTATCCAGTAAGCAATGGTGTTGCAAATTGTGAATTTGATATATTGTATTCTTTCGGCTAATGACAAAGTTTTTGCTTTCCACCCCTCTAATTGATTAGAGATTTTTTCCAGAAGTGGTTGGAAATCTTTTAGCTTTAGTTTCTTATAAAAGATAGGCAATCCCAAATATTTGATGGGATTTAAAGATTGCTGAATATTGAGAATAGTGCAGATGTCCACGTCTAGAGGGCAATTTTTGGAGATCAAAATAGTGCTTTTTTGAGGATTTACATTCAGTCCAGTAACATAAGCAAAATCCTTAAGGATGGAATTAAGAGTGTGGGTATTAGCTGTGGTAGCAGATCAAAAAACGAGGAGGTCGTCAGCAAACATGAGGTGAGAAACCTCACAGTTATCAGCAGAAATACCCTTAAAAGTTTTATTAGCCACAGCCAAGTCAAAACTAGTAGATAGTCCATCCATGATAATACTAAAAAGGTAAGGAGAGAGCGGGCATCCCTGCCTAATACCCGAAGTAGAGTTGAAATAACCCTCAAGCACACCGTTGATGCAGACAGAGAAATGTACATTAGAAGTACAGGCCATGATCCAGGAGATGAACATTTCAGGGAAACCTTTAGCTTCAAGTCTTTTATAAAGATATTCTCTAGAGACTGTGTCAAATGCTTTGGTGATATCAAATTTGGCGCAAAAGAACTTGTGTTTAGCTTTAAGATTGAATTGACTAAGCAAATCAACAGCGAGTAGAATATTATCAGAGATAACTCTTTTTTGGATGAATCCCCCTTGGCTAGGGTGAATAATGTAAGGCAACACTTCCTTCATCCTATTGGCAATTATTTTGTAGATAACATTGCATAAAGCAATAGGTCTAAAGTCTTTTACATTATTGGCATGAGGATGCTTTGGAATGAGGGCAATGGCTGTGGATTTTACTTGATTGGGCATAAAACCAGTGTTGAAAAAAGAGATGATAGCTTTGAACAATTGAGGGTGGATTACATTCCAAGTTGCTCTATAGAATTCCAGAGTGAAACCATCTGGACCAGGCGCAGAGTTTGGCTTTCCAAAAAACACAATAGCTTTAATCTCATCCATAGTAATAGGTGCAGTGAGGGCAGAGATCATGTGAGGAGGGATCACAGTTCCAGTTGGGATGAGAGTGGTATTAATATTCAAGCATTCAGGACCAGCGGAGTTAAAGAGATTGTTGAAGTGTTGAATG